AGTGCGACCGGTTAACCGCAGAAGCCGAGCAGAGGATGAAAGATAAGATTACTTAAATGGAAGCGATTTTGTGCTACAGAGGCGTAGCGGTTTCTAAGCAACGGAATGCTGCACAATACGCTTCCCCTGAACCGCAATCACCCACGTCCCCATCTCAGTTGTCTTCTCCAACTTTGGTAGAACGCCGGGCGAAAACTGACCGTACCTACGAGAGTCAAACGGTACTCATGGCAACGAAAATCAGGCACCACTCGAAACGTCTGGTTAAGCAACTTCCACTAGACTTGACATCTAGCATTAACAAGGATGAAGCAGCCGAACACCAACCCCCGGTACCTGTAGCTCAAATGTCTCTTATCGGCATAAAGCCCCGAAACATCAGTTACGTATACAGAGATTGCTGCAAAGGTCCCCTGGGAGGCCGCCGTTGCGGCCTCTTCTGTTGTAAACACCGTTAACGCGAATAGAGGGACAAACAGCAAACAATCAACACTCGTCAGCAGGTCAGGACAAACGAGTACCATACCTTGTAGATCAACGAAAAAGGGATCCAACAATAGTGCCCAGAATGTTGTATGCTCAAATGTCCCTGAATCTACCGCCATCACATTGCGGGATAAGTTATCGGACGACCAAGACCAATGGAACTCATTGTGCGTGCTGATGAGTGTCAAAGCCAAGCCCACAAAATTATTACGAATTACTCGTCATCCGAACTCGCCACACTATGGAGAACCCAGACTTATTCGAGTAACACTAGAATCCTCCACCGACGTAGAAAACGTTTTGCTCTCCACAAACGCGCTAAAACACGGATTCGGTGGGATACGCATTTATCCTGATGTCCCTTGGAGCGCGCGACAAGCAAAAAGAAACACCGAAGAGGGACACAGCAAGCAAGACCGTCTAACAATAATCTTCATACATGGCGTGCCAGAACATCCTTCTAACGATGTTCATTTGACCGGAAAGCACGATTTAGAACAGTGGCGGTTCATTCGTGAAACAGTTTCTTTGGATAATATTGTGGCGCTATCGCTCACCAGGATACCTCTCTCACCAAATTATAGAGGATGCGGCCCTAGACTCCTAAGATCTGTGGTGCAATCAGAGCATCAAGCAAAGGATGTTTTGGATCGATGGCGGAGAAATTGGAAACATCTTCCTTCCGGAATTCGGTTAAAGGTCGCAAACGCTTTGCACAGCTCAAATATTAGAGCACCTGAAGCAGCAAGCATACCGACGAATGTACAGAAGCGTAACTTGACTGCTGCTTTAATTGACTCTGACGTAGGTCTAAACGAAGTTTGGGACGCATCTTAGCCAAATCAAGTTGCAAACGAGGTATCATTATCCCAAGAAAAAAACGAGTAACTGTTGATCTCTCATCGATCGGCCCTCTCCAACACTTGACCGCTTCACCCCGCGGTGGGCTCCTCTAGACCGAGAAAATGGCCTGCTTGTATATGAATCCCCAAGAGTCTTTAGAATAAACTGGCCGAACTGAAAGATCACCAAGGTTCCGGGTCATACGATATCCTTGGTATCAACGAGACGTGGTTGCACACGGGAATGACGGACGTTTAAGTTTCGCTCCCTGGCAAGTCGCTGATCCGGAACGATAGGCTCACAAAAGGAGGAGGGGTAATCCTGTATTACCGAAGCGACTTACAGTGCGAAGCCCTGGAGGATTCAGACTCACAGTTCCCCGACTCTCCTTGGTGCCGCTTGTAGTTAAATGGCAGAGACATTTGCCTTATTGTCTTGGGGTACCGCCCCCTAACTATACACCCGAAGCCGACTGCGACCTAGCGGCTGCTTTAAAATGCAGTTTACAGCGAAAGTGCACTCATATACTTATCATGCGTGATTTCAACGTACATTGTGTAGAAACTCCTGCCACAATCGGAGAACAATTCAAAGACTATCTACAAGAGCTCGTACTTAACGTTCCTCTTTACAACCACATCAGTTTGCCCCCTCTGTTCCGAACATGTAAGAGGCCATCTGTGCTGGGTCTTGTGTTTACCAACGAGGAGCATATGATTGATGTGTTGGTTGTAGGCTGCCCGTTGGGTCGCAGTGATCACGCAGTGATCCGTTTCAACTTCATCTGCAAATTCAGTCAGGTGATTGCAGAGGCTTCAGAGATAAGAGTTTGCAATAAGTGTGCATCAGTTTCTTTCGTTAAGAGCAGAACTAGAAAATGGATGATAGTACGCCACGCAGCATGGCGAGTGTACAGAGAAGCCACAGCACCAGAAACTTGGGACAAATACGTAGCTCAACGTAAGCACTGCACTCAAATGCTAAGATACGACAATGCCGCCTATCAGCAGCACATCGCGAAAACCTTCAGTGCTAAACACAAACTGCTGTACAAGCACGTCAATAGACTGCGGAAGGCGACGCAAGGGTTTCCTTCACTCAGGATGGCTAATGGCCCAACAAGAAAGGCTGTGGAAGCAGCAAACGCACTGCGGATGTAATGTGTCTCCACGTTTCAGAGGGTCTTAGACTTAGACTTTATCACTTAGCGCTACCTCTCCATCTTACACCTGGAGTTTATCTTGAAATTATTTGTTGTTAACTGTGAATCTAACAGGATCGCAGGACTACAGCGAAGCAAACGATAAGTCCTTATTTTCATATTTAAAGCATTAACCATTTTAATATCCTTATCATCATTATTGTTACGTTGATATCCCCACCAACTATCCAACGGGACTTGTAAAGCAACGCTTCTTAACCCGTATAAATTCATTGTGCACACATCGGCACTGTTTGAACCGAATCCTTGGCACGACCAAACGCTGGTTTACTGGTAGTATCACTCTTTTTCATATTCTGTATATACTTATGTAAAAGCAAATTCCAATGGGCATAATTTGTCTATCTAGTTTTTAAAGGTATTCCCACCCTGAATGTGCGACCAGTTTGCTGACTACTTGCAATCTGTTTTCGCCCAACGGAAGAATGATAAAATTTAAAACAACTGCGGAGGTGTTCCTCTAGCACATAGACAATTATTTACTTTTTCTCATCTCGTGTGTGATATCAACTTTGGCAGTTGTGAAAACACACCCATCGGAGCTGCTCTGCCTCCACTCGGACAATTGAACATAACACAGATGAAACGTCTGCGCTTGCTTTAAGAGCATTGTTTGGACACAAGCGATGAAAACACTGGGGGTCCACCTATGAGTTTACCACCATACCGTGGAACAGGAAACGGATAAGAAGTATAGTGGGTTTATGACCAGGAACAAGGCCGTGCGTATCAAATTTTCACTCTACGACAAGTGCCGAGCGGAGTACATTAAAAGCTAATGGTATGAGAACACTGAAATGAGTTCGCGCAGTGTGAAATTTACAGCTACCTACATCAGCTTTCGGAATCACTGGGTTAAAAAAGTAATCCATTGAGTATTAAAGGACATACGTAAAGAAACACAACGAGGACGATTCTCTAACTTGATAAGACCGCTTAGTCGCATTAGTTCGATAGTTCTCTGATCGCTGTTTCTTATGAGTCAGTTCGGGTGACACCATCGCTAAACGGCAGTGAACGAGTATGCGAGTGAAAGTAACAAACCGGACTGAATGACAGTGACCAGGATATGTGCTGCGTAGGCCACCCGCAAATTAACGAGAAGGATCTCATTTTATGTATTGGATCTAGTATGGCAATAGGTCCGAGTATCTACAGAATCGGCAGGGAAATGAAAACGCCTGAAAAGCCGTACCATCGGTGCCAATATATCTCCATGTGACCCCAGCTGATTAGGATAATAAAAATAGGCTTCATTGCTTTTTACTCAACACCGTGACTCCATACAGCTCTATCTTTGTCAATTAGGATCGTCCCCATTTAGAACATCGTAGTTTGGCAGCGAAAACCCAGTGCAATGTACTGGTGCGCAGCCGATGTAACAGACAGCGAACGACATCTCGAAGGTGGCTTTGCTATGTCCGGTGACCATTGCAGATGTCCAGAAAGTGAATCGAATATTTCATTGAAAAACTAGGTGATCCCCAGATAAACCCATTCAGGTTAGGACCTCGCGCTGGGAAACCAATTCCCTGATTGACAACTGTTATACATCATGGCCTCAGGATTTATTGACACAAAAGACACCGGCTCCAATGAGATTGCGACACAATAACTGACGTGTTTCTCATTCTCGGTTAACTGGTAGTGAAAGTGATGACGCTTCGACGAGACAATCGGGACACCCGTTTGCCAAGTGCCCATATTCACGTTACTGAACCCCTGTGCGTGTACCGGAGCAGAAGTCTATCCGAGAAACTGAGCAGTTGCCATACACAAATCGCAGTACCGAGTTCGATGTAAGCGGAAATGAGTTAGAAACGTGACTTCCGGGTGACTATTGGAAGCATCAATGATTGGCATTTTAGCCACCGGGCTGGGGTCTGGACTAGCTGACAGGTTGGTGAGTAGTTATAAACAACAGAGAACGCGTGTATTTGTATTAGATGTGAGTGAAGATGGAAAACCGATTATATTCAGACAGGATAAAAGCATATCGAATGATCTAAATGTGCGTGTGAAAGAAGTATTCTTAATTGGCACCGATATGTTGTAGTGTTCGCTCGGATCGTTGATTGTTCGAGAAATTTCAGGTGCTAGCAAAAACGGAACTGGAACACTCCAGTAGTCCTATGTGCATCTGACGAGTAAGAAGTCCTTACTTTGGACAATGCCTGAAGAAGTTCATACAATGATGCAATCTGCTGTGGATGAGGGCTAACAAACCCATATGTCAACGAAAGTCCGTTCTCTCAATGCCTAATGGGAGAGGACGACGTGGTGTAGATGCGGATGGCAGACAAAGGTATTGCAGCGGTACAAGAGCGGCATTATGTGTAAAGAAAGTTGTAGTGCTTTCCCGATCAGAAGAAATATTTTCAGGCCCACGACAGACATTTAATGCACAAAAAGGACCCAAAACAATTGACAGGGGGCGGGTGGGGTAGGGGGCGAAAATTCCTTCGGACTAGGCTAAGAATGATGATGAAATCGAGACAGTCATAAAACTGACAGAGCTGGGGGAGGCAATGAAGTCACTATTTTCCCTTGTCAAGGTCCTTGAGGAGTTTCTCGTGACGCTCGATTGCTTCCTGAAACGGAAAATACAAAGCGATGATGAGTGAAGTTAGAGAATAACGAGTTTCGAGCTACTGTTTGGTAAAAACAGCTACGGTCCGGCATCTAAGTGCGATGGGTCCGGTTGTGAGGGATCGTATTTTAAGTATTCTGAAAAGTAATAAAGGTGACAAAGCGGAAATGCGAAAGAACGATCAGCATACAAAAAGGGCAATAGAATAGGCAAAAGAAATAACGGTCACTGAATGGAAAAGCGGACACTAGGAGGTGACAGATCAGATGCAAAAATGACAGTGACTTCACAATTGAGGTGGTGTGGTCGATCCCAATGGCCTTTGAAGTAAGGAAAATGACATGCAACGGCAGACACAGATCTCTCTCGTCCAATCGCCTCATGCCGCTTGGGACCACGATTGTGCATCATACCAAAGAATGCAGTGCCTGGAGACACTGCACACAGAGGTGACAGGTCACGAAAAAGCCATGGTAAACTGATGAAGTTCGAAGTACAGTGTAGTGCTGTCAAAAAGCAGCTGAAGGAGAATATCTTCGACATTCACTCGGGGGAACAACCAGATATGAGTTGTAGTGAGCAAGTATCGGTACTCAAAGAGGACCAATGGTTTTTGGTCTTTAGCACGCAGTGACGACCACTCCGAGTCTCATGGAGTTGTACATCATACCACTGACTGCCAGACCGGTGTTTCCATAGATGAATGAAGTTTCGCAAAGTTACACATGACCTGCTGATCGGTGCGATGACTCTGGCCAATAGAAATTAGAAAACAACGCACACACGAGGTATTTCGGAAATGTCGCATCAGCATGCGTTATCCACATTTAGTTGGTGCGCAGATTTGGACTGAACATTATTTATGGATATCATTATGCACACAAAGATGAAGTTGGAATCTTTGAGCCCGGCGGATTATGGTACCTTCAAGTGCACCACAGAAAGTCGTTGAGTCCTCCGCAAGTGATTAAGCATTGTGGCAGGGGTGATAATTTGTAAAGAAAAATGATTACACCAACGCAAAGCTAGAAGGAGGTCCAGTCCGATAGCCACCGCATATCCAGAAAAGTGCAGGATTATGCAACAGGTTGCGTCACACCGTTATTTCTCCAGCTCTGTCACGAACCATACTGCGGTACAGAGCACAAGGTCGATCGTTCGGCGATGAAGTAAAGCCACTCGTTTCACTAGAAGCAATTTATATGATCAACAACGAAATGGTTATCGCGAGGCGCGGTCGGGCTCCATGCGATAAAAGCTTTCACATCATCGCTAAGCATTCAGCACAGTAGATCAACTGGGGTGTGACGGACCGAGGGGCCACGAACTGAAACACCGTGGTGATAAAAAAGTACCCATCGTGAAAAAAAGACAAACAAACAAGATCATCTAGCAAGTAGTGAGTGAAGGGAAGCAATATACCTTGTCTCAGCCATTTGCATCTATTGCGCTTTTAAATTCCTCCATAAGGAAACCATGTTCTCACTCAAGATGGTCCTTGAGGTTAGCAAGTTGCATCCAAGGGGCGCAAATGAGACTAAATGTACTGTTCCTTGAGCGAACAATCCTAGACCAGCCAGTAGCCTTCCATTTGGTGTACTCGTCTGATACACTAGGCCAAAAATTCATTTGTAAGAAGAGCAAATTATCCCTCAGGAATGATTACAGATCGTTGGTACTGAAACCAGACTTTACTACAGAGTGAAAAAAGGTCTGTTATCGGCAAACAGCTTGTGATCAATTTGTTCCCCTACCCACAGAAACTGGTGAAGTTCCTCACGTGGTTGACCGAAATGACACTTTGGCTATAAAAGAATCCAGCCTAGTGTTGAAAACAAATATTAGTTGTCGTTAAAATATCGCTCCCGACTCCACTCAGAGTTGCGTTAGCGCACCATTACTGTGTAACTCGTCCCAAAACACACAAGTTCCAATGCGCAAACGCCTATATCTGCTCACTCTCTATCGTTCACCAACCAGGTGGATAGACGTTCTGGTACGTAACCGAAAACCTCTCCAAAAAGCTGTGCATCTCTGATAGATGTAATACTGCGGAACAGTCTTGTTATAAAGGACACTGGTAGCAAAATCACACATAGCATCGTTACGGGTGCTCCTAAGCACATCAAAAAGACTACTATTTCAAACGCTTCACCAAACGCTATCACCACTGGAAGTCCGCAGACAATCGGCATATCACCAGCCGCTCAGCATTTGAGTATGCAACCTGTGCACTCCATAAAGTGTGAGCCACTTGTTAGCGAAGTTCACGTGGCTGGGAGAAATTGGCAAAACCAAATTCTCAGAAAGGTTCCTCTACATGTAAAAAAACCTTCACAGGCAGATAGGTTATGTGCAACAGCCAACAAACTGTACTTTCACAAAGAGACGAAATTTTCCTAGTATTTCGCCCCTCTAACATTTTTTGGGGCCCCGTGACGTTTTACCAGACACACCCACAAATGACACTAATTCCGCAAATCATATTTTCTCCGTATCCACCACCCCCATATCGCTGGGGTCCTCTATCTGGATTCCTGTAGGCAACCCAACGGAGAATAAGACACTGCACCTACTATTAATTAATTCTCGTTCATTGTTAAATAAAATGCACTTCTTGCGTAATATTCTTCATCTTTCATCCCCTGATGTAATACTAATAACAGAAACACGGTGTTCAGTGGAGATGCCAGACACATTGTTTGGGATATTGGGTTAGAACATGTTTCGTAATGACCACCCTTCCGGTAAAAGTGGTGGCTGTCTAATCTATGTCCAAGTCAGATACCTGGCTCTTCCTCTGGATGAACCAGTTCTTCGGACATCTCCTGATTCGGTGTGGATTACCATTTCTAGTTCTCCAACAAATCTCTTAATAGGTTGCATCGACAGATCACCCACATCTTCGGTCACCGTAACGAATGACTTGATACACTTTTTCTTTTATTGCCGACCTCTCATACACTAATAAAATTATCGCTGGGGATTTTAATATGCCCGAAATCAAATGGTCACTTAACAATGAACCACAAAAGCGCAACACTTTTATGTCTACCCTTGGTCGACTAGGATGGGTACAGCACGTCAAAGAGCCTACCCGGTTTGGAAACACACGATCTAATATTTACTATGGAATGTTCAAACGTGTCCACATACATTAGTGGCAGACTATCGGGGAGTGATCATAATATCGTTGGTTGTTTATTCCAAATTTTTTCCAAACCGATAGAATCAGTGACCAAATACCGCCCATTCTCTGCTGTGAATTGGTTCGTCTTCTCAGATCTCATTAAGGTCTTCGAATTGAAATCCATTTTTCTTAGCACAGAATGTACAAATTGCTTGTGATGAGCTCTACCACCGTATTCAGCTTTGCATTGAAGTTGTGGCTCCAGAATGCACTAAGAAGTTGAAAAGGATTGCCGCTCCAGCAGGTATCTCGAAAAAGGTAGCCATCAAACTACATAAAATAGAAAAAGTCGCGGAAAACAAATGATCTGACCCTACTAATGCTCCATACCAGAATGCTAACTGTTATATCATGATCATCACAAAATGCTATGCTCCGAGGAGGTAATGGTATTGAACAGCGCAAACGTGACAGGCTCCATCTCAAAACTTTTGGTTCATAGACAGAACAGGAAATCAAGTAATATTAACTCGATTTTAAACTCTGATGAAACTGCCATAACCGATCGCGAAATCATAAGTGCGATCTTTAATAACTGCATGTCTTTAATAACTTCATGTGTACCTATAGTACCAATGCGAGAGAGGAACCTCAACCCAAGCTGATAAGCAAAGGCAGCAATACACTCCAAACGGTTGAATTCAAACTTGGTGATATATGTCGCCAAATCAGATTAGTTCGTTCATCATGCTCTCCAGGCCCTGACAACATCCCGGCAATTCTAATCAAACAAGGAGGCCCAGACATCCCCTAATTTCTGCATCATGTATTTACGCTTTCCATGATCAAAGGAGAGTATCCTATGCATTGGAAACAATCAAATATAATTACACGACACAAAAGTGGTTCTATGTAAGATGTAAAAAATTACCGCCCAATCCACCATACATCCATTATTTCCAGAATCATGGAGAGGTTAGTTAAAGAACGCATAATAGAATACCTGTGTTCTAGAAGACTTATCAGTAAACATTAGCAGTTTTTTAAAGGGTAGGTCATGCACCACCTGTCAGATAGATTATCTTGAGTATGCAACTAAAGCGAAGGACGACGGAAGTGCTATCGATGTAATACTGCTTGATATCCAAAAAGCCTTTGACCGTGTCCAACACAATTTATTTTTTCAGGAGATTATGTCTTATGGTATCAGGAATTCGCTTCTAAAATAATTGTCTTCCTACCTCGAGGGTAGAAAGCAAGCAGTGAGAATTGGTAACTGTACATCTGAAGCCATTTCAATATCTAGTGGTGTGATTCAAGGAAGCGTGTTGGGTCCGCTTTTATTCTTAATCTACTTTAAGGAACTCCTTGATGAAATTATGTGCGGGAAGCCATTCCACTTTACTAATGATGTTAAAACGGTGTATTGTTCAGGTCCTGAGCAAGGTAATCCTAATTTAGCCTGTATGCAATCTGACTTGTCAGCATTAGAGCACTGGAATAACTCCTGACACGTGTAATCTATTGTACTACGGTTGTGACACTCCACCGAACATCCTAACCCTAAACAACACTCCTATTCCTGTGTGTGACGCAGTCCGAGACCTTGGTCTAAGATATTCCGTCTCATTTAACGTTTTAGAGCAAGTTATATTCTTGCAGGCTTCTACCAGAGAAACCATCGCCTACATAAACCGAACTCTTATCTTCAGGGAGTCCAGGCCTCAAGCCTTTAAAAGATGTTAGGCCGAAGCTCGAATCCCGTACAATAGTGCACGGAAAGCTGAGCAAAGTGGACATCATAGCACTGGAAAACATCCAACGATCATTCATGAAGAGATGCTTGAACGTGCCTGACATTATGACTTACC